GCTCCCAATGACTGCTGCGCGGTCTACCCGGTCTCGGCGCAGGCAAACGTATATCTGCAGGTGAAAGGCCATAATCAGGATGCAAGGAAAGAGGCTGCAAATTTTACAACCAAGCTGGATCAGGCAATCAAGGAGGGAATCGATAATGACTTGCTGTTGGATAAACTGAGCAAAGTGGCCGACAAGGATGTCAAAGATGCCATGGAATCGGCTTTGATTCGACAGCACGACATCAAAGCAAGGGCGAAGGCATATGAAGCGGCCGTTAGGATGTTTGAGGAGCGTGTGAAGATCTCGACTTGACAGCTGTGATTACCTGCAAGCTGCTGAGAGCAACGTGTGACACTCGCAGACGAACGCAGTGACGATCGCTCTCATGAGCGATCTATCCCAATATCCCAGTGAAGGGCTAGGATTAGATACAATTGATGCATGTGCAATATCGAGATGCTGCTCGTCCAAGCTGTGAGCTGTGAAGTATGCCGTGCGGCGGCTGAATAAGCGGGTGCCAAGCACGTCGCCATCGGTGATCAGCGGGGGACCTCTGCGTCTTCGCTGCAAGCCTGGAGAGGAGAGAAAGTTCACTCTTCCACCAATCCTCACAGCTCGCATCCATGATTTTATTGCTTTAGCAACGTCAATTCGGCTACGAGCTTTCATTCTTCTCTACTCAACAATTACCCTTGCCGCTACTGGGCAATTGAGCCGACGGCTCATCTCTACATCACCTGGTCGAGCTTCACAGCTTGCAGGAAGACACTGGACTCATCCATCACTTCTCACACCCACCGCATCGGGGTGATATCTCACAACAGCCGGGTCTTCGCACTATCTTTCCATATTCACAATGTCCGAGGTCGATTCGAGGCCCACGCCCTCGAGGGGCAGAAGCTCCGTCAGAGGAGGCCGCGGAGGCTTTGGTCGCGGAGGTCCCAGAGGCGGCCATAGACAGACGAATGGCGGCGCAGCCAAGGAGCAAGCAGAACCGTCACTGGATGACCAGGGAGAGATCGGAGAATTGAGAAAGCAATACGGATCAAATCTTCTGATGCTCAAGGACATGTTTCCCGACTGGACCGACGTTGACCTTGTCTTTGCTCTGCAAGAGACAGATGGAGACTTGCAGACCACTATTGAGAAGATCACAGAAGGTAAGCTTGAATTGCTAACGTCTGACACGTGTATCTTACAACAGCGAAGGCCACATCTCTCAATTCTCCGAGATCAGAAAACCCAAAGACCGCGCTCGATCCAAGGCCAAAGATGCCATTTCGACCGAACACGTGGGTACCGCTAGAGGCGGCCGCGGAAGAGGCGGGATTGAAGGGTCTCGGGGTGGTCGTGGGCGCGGTGATCGGGCTCGAGGAGTCTCGCGTGGAGGCCGTCTTGGTGCAGGCGCACCAGCAGTCAAGGACGTTAGCGAGGAGAACACGACTGGTGCCGCTCCCGATTCGAATGCATGGGATCAAGCTGGATCGAATGAGACCCAAGAAGCTGCCCACGGTGACACAAAGGCGCATCGGGGCAACGTTGTCGCTGCCGAGCCGACTCATAATACAGCATCGGAGGCAACCAGGCCGTCGCTGCTTCAGGATGGCCCAGCCAAGAAGACATGGGCAAGTATGTTCAATCTACCCAGAGTAGTACCTGCTCCAGCAGCGTCTGCAAGTGCGAAGCAACAGAAAAGCGTACCACCCTCAGATCCTGTGGCAAGTGAGCACACAGCATCTGCAGAGCCTATTCAGGCTCTCGAAGAGCCGACAGTGGCGCCCGCACATGAGGAATCACCCGCGCTGCCCCAAATCGAGACTCCGACAGCGAGTGCTGAGGTGCTTGAAGCACCGCACGACAAGCTGACTGAGCACAATCTCGAGCATCTCCCTGATACCTCCATTCCCCCGGCGACTCAGACCGTAGCCAGCACCATCGGCTCGGATGCTCCAGGCAAAGCTACACCGCTGGGTGCGGGCTCGCAATTGCCCATTGGCAGGCCTGGCGTTGGTGGATATGCTTCGACGGCGATGAGGGCTACTGGCATGACACCCCGCAGTGCTAGTTATCAACGCCGAGTCATGGAGCAGCAAGAAGCGGTCGTACTGCCAGGACATAACAGCATTGACCGAGCGACTGTACAGTTTGGTAGCATGGGCTTGAACGGCGACGCCGCAGATGTCGATGAGGAAAGAGAAGAACCTGAAACTCGCACCCAACCTCAACAGTCTCCTCCTGGACAGCCACGCGCTTCTCTCCCTCCTGCAGCTATTTCCGCTGGTGCACCATCTCAGGACTCATACACTGGCCAAGGAATGCCGACTCCTAAGGCAGCTCCAGGCCTGCCTCCTGCGAACCCGCAACAAGCACAACACTCTGCCCAGTCGATGGACTCGGCACTCTCCCAACAGGGCCAGCAGCAACAATATGGTCAGTATGCCAGATACGGCCAGCAAGACATGCACGCCCCTTCTCAAAAGTCGTACGACCCCTTCAGCCACCAGACTCCTTCCGGTTACGACCAATACTCGTCACATAACCAGGGTCAATCTCAGCAGCAGGGTCAGCAGGGAGGATACGGAGGATATTCTTCTACGCCATCAGACTATTCCCAGTACTATGGTTCTGAGCAACAGAGAAATGCTTATCAGAATTATTACGGGGGCTCCTACGGTCAGCATCAGGGCCAGTCTCAACAAGAAAGTGCCAGTTCGCAGCAACGAGCTGGAAATGCTGTAGGATCTGGGCAGGGTGAAAGTGGCTATGGAGCCACTCAAGGTGCTCAGCAGGTGAGTTGATAAGTTTGCAATATTCACGACCATTCACTGACACGATGACAGTCTCAGGGCAGATACAATGAGCCTCAGGGCTCCGGTCATAACACTCCAGCCCCAGCAACAAACAATCAGCAGTCGGGTGCTCCAGGACAGCAGGCTCAACAGCAACCCCAGCAGCAGCAGCAACAGCAGCAGCATCAGCCCCAGCAACAGCAACAGCAGAGCCAGTATGGTGGCGCTGGGTACCCCTACGGTCATCCTTACTACAATAGCCCGTATGCGGCAGCGTATCAGAACCAATTTGGATACACAGGCTACGGAGGTGCTCCATATGGGAAGCAAGGTGGTGGTGGAGGTGCCATGTACAATCAACCACAAGGCTATGGCATCAACGCGCCATCTTCCTACGAGCATGGATCATCTCCAGCCAATAGCAGCTTCAACCAACAGTCTGCTGCCGCTCACTCTCGCGACACTGCCCACAGCAGCGGCGTCAGCGAATACAACCGCAGCTCCACCCAGCCGTCTAGCATTGCTAGCGGCGGATTCGGCGGTGTGTCTGACTATGGACGCTCTCAGTCTGGATACCAAGGGCAGGGTCATGCATACGGATCTCAGCAAACCGGCGGGTCCGATGATTTGAAATCACTTGGGGATTCCAAGGGCGCTGCTGGACCATCGCCTGGCCTCAGCCAACCTGGTCGCCCTAGCTCTGCTACCAACAATGCAGCGGGTCAGGGCCAACCGGGCCTACCACCTCCTCAGGGTCACCAACAGCAAGGGTATGGCCAGTACCCTGGCTTTAATCAGGGCAGCCAGTATGGATCTCAACTTGGTGGGCTTGGTGGACACCAAGGCGGTCAACAGGGCGGCTATGGTGGATACAGCGGGTTCAGCCAGTCATACAACCAATACGGGAGAGGAGGATGGGGAGCCAGCTATGGCCACTAGAACTGTGGACATGGCGGTCACCATCTCAATTTGAGAAGCTCTCGTGATGTGTCGATTCGGAGTTTTCTTTCGTTGGTCGTTTACTCCTGGCGGAATCAAATTGAGGGGTGGGAGACTAGGCACAGATTGTAGAGAATTGGGGGGATTAACATGGCTTCCACAAAGGGCCTGAATTTGCCTACTACAAGATGGCCATAATGGAGGCTAGCGATCTTCACTCAATAGCAACACTATGTAGCAAAGCGAAAAGTCTCATGTCGCTAGCCGGAAACATCCATGCGCTTCTGCAATTTGTGTTAATATTCTTCGTGATAGCGTGGATTTCTTATGACGACCTATTTGCTAATCCCTGCCCTGCAGCCATGAATAGCTTGACGCGCGGCGGTCGACTCGGTCGTCACAAATCTTCGTGGTAGAATGGAACAGCTATATAGCATTTCCGGCGCCAGTAGTGAAACCACGGTTCGAGTGGTGCAACTGTGTCCACGAGCTTGGACAAGCACAAGTACGGCATTGCGCAGACAGTAGCTCATTCAGCCGCCGTGCAGCGTCGAGACGAAGATGATGTTGTCTCCGGACTTGAGTTCGTAGTCGGCCTCGCCCTCGAGTTCCCAGTCTGCGTCGTTGATCAGGACGAGGATGCCTGGCCGTCTGTGGTGGTGGTGGTAATGTCAGCACGTCGAATGCGATGAGAAGGGGTCGAAGCCGATCTTTCAGGTCCCCGATAATAGGATTGATGGACTGGGTGAGAGAAAGGAAGATAGAAGAGCAGATTGGAGCTTGAGACTGAGAGAGAGGGGATGGGAATATGACTTACACCGTGCCGTCGAGGATGAACAGCTCGCGCTTGTCTTTCTGGACATAGTCCTGGTCTAGATGCTTGATCAAGTCCCCTACAGTGTATGGTGCGCTATCTAAATTGGACGCTGGGAGATCTAGCGCGAGGTTCTTCTTGTTGTGGAAGAGAGTCTCGAGGCCGCCTCTGTGGGTTTGTCAGTCTGAAATCACAAGAGAAGCATGTTTACTAGAGGAAGATGCATACGTAAATTCGATCTTGATGTGAATAGTAGTTCTATCGGACATTGCGTCGTAAGGAGCGTGTTGGGAGCGAATGTAAATTTATAGCAAAGCATTGGACATAGCCAGCATCCTCACTTTGGAAAGTGAAAATAGTATGCGATGTGAAGAACATTATTGTATGGGGTATATATATTTTATATGTCTCTTTCCTATCTTGGATTCTCTCCAAAAAGGCTTCACAGTTTGAGCACACTCAAATTTGGCACCGTGGCCTAATGGTAAGGCGCTGCTTTCCGGTTTGGTGAATGGCAGAGATTGTGGGTTCGAGTCCCATCGGTGTCGCATTTTTTGCGGTTTGATAACTAAATTTTCCATGCTGCTTAGCATCAGGTGCTTTACTGATAGAATATGGTATTTGCGAAACAAATTTTGGCATTTCCTGACCATTTTGAGCCCTAATGGTGTATCTTCAAATGGGAATTTGGCCGCGAAGCAATGCTTGGCCATTTTACTCTATAGCAAATACCCTACTATATTCCGACACTGCTGTAGAGAATGTTTTGGAAATCTTCCATGTGGAAATGCCCTATCTGAGAATACGCGCCCCGAGTGTCTTCACAAACACTGATGCCAACGTCCATATCAGCCTTTCTTAATCGTGGTGCGCAGCTCAGGACGGCGTTGAGATCGTCAGCGGAATTTGCCCTCGGCATGGGGTGCTATGGTGACGCATTATGCGCAGGCAACCGTGCTGCTCGGCGGAATGTCACGGGGCAGAGAGTCCCAACTCCGCAGTACCGCCCAGTGCTGCCAGCGATGCCTCTGAAAGGGGCGCTGCACACGAAGATCACGCGTATCCACCGCCACATTTACCGTGCGTGAGCATGCTGTGCATGTCATCGCCCCCGTCTCAATCATTCAGACAGGCAGCAAGATGGTGATATTTGGTGGCACTGACGTGATACATATGCATAGAGGTCTCTGGCATGCATGCTGGTGTTGCCACGTATAGATCAAATGCTCGACTACCATGAGTACGAGTGGCGAAGGTCAACAACGGATGACAGAGCAACGCCGCCGCGCTGGCAGCACAGGCAACTCTTGCCGTGTGAGATTCTTAGTCTGGACTGAGAGACAGCTGCTGAAAGACACCAGACCGGCATGCATATCGTCATTATTCCGCAGCTTGTGTGAAAGATGGCGCACGGTGCAGGCTTTGTCTTCGTTGCCTGGATCCGGCCATGGTGCAAATCACGGAAGGTGAGTAATTAAGAGACCACTGGCCACGGGGATCGCGATGCTTGGTGCGGGGATAGGTGCAAAGTCAAATTGGTTGCATGTTGAGAAGCGCGGCTTGCGGTTCGGAAGTCACCGCATGACCCTCTAGCGCCTTCGAAAGATCAGTCAGTCATGCTCAGAAAGATCATACCGGAATGATTTATCTTCTCGATGCCAGCAGCGGTCGCGTGGTGTGACATCTGCACTCACAAGCGCGAGTCGGCTGCTCAGAGTTTACACACGAGACAAGGGCGCCTAGCCAAGATGAACGAGTCTGCACACAACGGAGGTGGTGCTGGCTGCTGCGGAACGGCGAGACCAGATGTGCACCATCGCAACTCGGCGCACGGCCTCCAGACTCCGTTTTTGAAGCCGACCATTCGGAAGCGCGCGAATCCAATGACACAGTGTGGCTGGCGCTCGTCTCTGCGTTTTACTCTACTGCAGGCCTGCGATCAGCCAGCACTAGCACCGGTGGGAGGCCTATTGCTTTTGCGCGGCCGCCCTGCACCATCCTCCACCACCCCCTTCCCCTTCCTCGCGCCGCTCCCCCCGCGCTCCATAAGTGCAGAGTGAAACGTAGCCAAAAGACTTCTGCAAGGATGTGAAAGTGGAGGAGCGGATCCTGACAGAGGACTGCAGTGCAGACGTGTCGTTTGCTGTCTTATTATTATTTTGCGTGTCGGGCACCCGCTGGGACCGCTGGGGCCATCGTTGCAAAAGGGTCGGGACCTAAAAAAATTCATTTAGCACGGCGCTCTTCATTTCGGCTCGATTCGGTTGGGCGGATGAGCAGGACGGGGCGGGCGAATTGGGCGGGAGTTGGCGGGCGGCTTGTGGGCGACACACCGCGACACGGCGATGCACACGCTCTCACACTCCCGCTCTCACCGTGACGGAGCTGGAAATGGGAAAGAGGGAAAAAGAGGGAAGCCGCGACCGCCGTACCGTGACCGTGATCCGTCCAGAAAACCCGCACACCCCCCCAATCCCTTCACCTCGAAACGCTCACCCGTTGTCCTCCGCGACACAGTCCGACTCTTCCTCACCTCGCCATCAGTTTCTGCCCGTCACAGCCGTCGCCGTCTACTTGTTCTGCCCACCCGTCGCTGGACAGTCGTAGAACGACCTCGACATCTTCTGTTTCCTCGTTGCGATTTTTTTACTTCCTCCGGCGTCTTCGTCGTCACACCTGTGCTCGCGAATTTCTTCACTAGTGGGAAACATCACGACTGCAGCCGCCGTCACGTCACATCTCACGTTGTCGGACAGGTGAAGAACAAAGCAGACTTTTTGTTCTGCACTCTTTTGCGAATACCTTTCGTGGTCTTTCACTAGACGCGCTTGGTCAATATTGCATTGCACTCAGGAAACGCGCGGTATACGTCTCATCGCGTTGCCATCATTGCATCCTTGAAACGACTTTTTCCGCCAGCGTATTAAAAGTCGCGTCTCTCTCATTACTTACGGACGACCTATTTACTTAGTCTCGCCCGATCTGACCGCAGAAAGTCAGTACCCACTGCGTCTTTCGTCTCGCGATCATCTATTTGCTTAGCGACGGTCCGCAACATCTCTGAAAGGATCTTTTCGATTTCGAAACCCTTTCAATCTCCCTCTTGGACTCCACTTCACCCTCAGCTACCGAAGACGTTCACACCTCTCAGCTTTCATTCCTCAAGACCGCATCATCCAATCTCACCGACGCATGAATTGTTAGACAAAGAGGAGCAAACGCGACAGCTCCTCATCCTCGTGGAGGAACGAAACGGTAGGCATGATCACACCTCGTTCATCTCTGCTTACGCTAACATTGTACTTCACAGGTTGTGTAGACAAGCCGTTTCTTCCTTCTTACGCCTCTTCTCCACCCATCATGCCTGCCTTCTTTCCCCAGGCCATGCCTGGTTCATTACCCCTCACTCCGCCTTACTCGGGGACCTACGACACGCAGTCATGCCATGCGTCCCAGTATGCAGATAGCTATGCTTCTTCGCAGGCCTTGCCTCAACGTCTTGACAGCGCCATGGAATATACCCACAGGTACCCCCCGCCTCCTATGCAGCAGGCCGTCTTCAACCGTCAGTCGTTTTGCAACACACAGAGCCTGCCACCAATCAACAGCTATTATGAGCCAATGGGAGCACCGATCCTCCCACCTCTACGCATGCAAGACGGTGCTTATACTGAGCGCGACTACTACCAGCAGTTCCCTCAGGGTACTGCCGCCCAAGTCACTCAACCCGAACAGGCCGGCCCCAAGGAAGAGCAGCCTACCGGCGGCGTATCGGCAAAGCTTGATTATGAGATGGAACGCATGACGGATTTCGTGTCCGAAGCGGCACAGGGAATGTATGCATTGCACTCGTCCAACATCTGCCTTGCAGATATTGACATCTGTCGAAGCATCCAACCGGGCACCTCGGTGCATCCTTCATTCCGCAAATGGGTCTTTCAGGTCTTGTCTGCGACAAGACTACCGTCAGCCACGATCCTGCTCAGCCTGCACTACCTGACTGTTCGCATGCGAGACTTTCCATCGAGCATCGAGAAGACAGAGAACCAAATCTATCGTCTTTTGGCGGTATCCATGATCCTTGGCAGCAAGTTTCTTGATGATAACACCTTCATCAATCGATCATGGTCAGACGTGAGTGGCATCAAGGTTTCTGAACTCAACACGCTGGAGATCAAATGGCTTGCCTTGATCGGATTTGATCTGCACGCGGATCCAATCGATGCTAATGGCGTCTCCCTTTGGATCCGTGCGTGGAAGGAGTATGATGCCCGTGCATCCTCCGATGCCAGAGCAATGAAGCTTTCGCCTCTGAACACCGACTTGGCGCATCAGAACATTTCGAATTCGGTCCGTGACTCTTTTCAATCTGGGTTTACCAAGACTCCTCATGGCACTTTCACGCCTCTGTCAACCGGGTCGGTCAATTCGTCTTCCGGGACCCCTTACATTTCCGCAGATCCTTGGAACCGGCCCGATCACTCGCAAACCGACTATCTTGCTGCTCAAGCGCGTTTTCATTCAATGGAAGAAGCGCAGTACGCGAACCGCTATGGTCCACAAGCACACGGGCGTGCGAATCAGTACTCTCAGTACTCGCTGCCGCCGTTGCACTCGCTGGCCTCCACCTTCTACAATCCCTGGGGTCATGGTGCTACCTGGGAGACACATCATGGACTCGGATGCCATTGCATTGGATGCGCTCGACAGAATGCTTCTTCCTATATGATGGGGTCCCACTTCACGCCGCAGACGGTGGTTGGTTGATTTCAATATGATCGTTCTACATGAGCACAGCACGCACGGCATCTGCGACGAAATTATCGACTGCACATTAATGCCAAAAAGTTTCCATCATTTTCCGCTTCCAGCGGGACCTTGGCTCTCATTTCATTTTAACGGCCTCGATTCGCTTTCATCTTGATCTCGCGGTCGCAGTGTTTTATCTAACTACTCGGCACTTAACACCAACACGTGAGCATCACACACATCTGCAACTTCGACAAGATTACGACTGCGGGCATGGATTTCTGATTTTTCTCTGGCGACGTTATCGGATATTACGACGAAGTGTTTTCATAATAGGCAAGGCGTTATTTATTTGGGCTTTATGGAGGAAGAGGTTTTGCTCAAAAGTCTGTAACAAAAGTTTTCTGCTTCGATTATACCATTTTGCGCTCACGCCCAGCTTTCGGACGGAGGGTGGAGGAGATGGACTGGCGATTTATATCGCGAAGGCATTTGATTTGGTTGCTTCATTCGAGCGTTCTTCTTGGCTTGCCACGAAGCCAGTCACAGATATACTACAGCGGTTCTGAGGGATTCCACGGTGGCAGACACAGAACATGCAATAGATAGAGGATGCAATTGATATAGGGCTCCCGAAGTCCTTTTTTGATTCTCACACACACGTTTCGTTACTCCTTCATGCCGAGTCTGGTGATTGATGGGATTTTTGAGACAGCACTCGTGAACATGATTGATGATTACCGGAACGTTTCATTCATGGCTTTTGGAATTATTTAAGTGGTGACTCCTCTGGCGTCAG